TGTGATTTCCAGTTTCCTCAGTGCTAGTGTCCTCTGCATTTGTACTGGGTGGACTCGGGACCTGAGACTGCATTTTGTTCCTTCTCTTTGTCATTTTGTATACCACTGTCTTCTGACCTCTAGTGTAGAGCTTAGATAGAGGTATTACTTAGCACCAGGTCCGGATCTACGAAGTTCAGATTCCTCCAGGTGGGTGTTTGGTTCTGGCTGTGTGCTTCACTTCTTTCTGCTGCAGGCATTAGAGTTGAACCCTTTGTGTCTCTCTGGGAAGATGTTCTGCTCCTGAATCAGCTGGGTGGGTCTTGCCTCTAGCCTCTTTGCATAGAGTTCTGCTGAAGGGTTCCCTGCTGGGCCTGCGCTCTGGGTCTGTTCAGGATCCCGCAGGCCCCTAGTCATCTCACTCACTCGCTGGGCCTGCGCTCTGGGTCTGTTCAGGATCCCGCGGCCTGGGTTGTCTCACTCACTTGCCAGGCCTGTGCTCTGGGTCTCTTGAATTCTTATACTAGGGTATTTATACGATATTTACACATGTGTGTCTGGTTTATTTCACTTACGAGTATATCTTCAAGTGGCATCCACTTCAATATAAAGGCTTCAAATTTATCATTCTTTATAGCTAAGTAGTACTCCATTGTATAAAAAAATCACATCTTTTTCATGCATTCCTCAGGTGATGGGCATCTTGGTTGTTTCCAAGATTTGTTATCACAAATTGTGCTGCTATAAACATAGCCACACATATATCCCTATGATATGATGTTTTCAGATCCTCTGGGAAAATTCCCAGTAGAGGAATAGCTGGTTTAAATGGAATTTTCAGTCCCACTTTTCTAAGGAGTCTTCATACTAATTTCCATAACGGTTGCACCAGTCTACATTCCCACCAGCAGTGGAAAAGGGTTCCTTTTTCCCCACAGACTCTCCCACATTTGTTGTTGGTTGATTTCTTTAAGTTAGCCATTCTTTCTGGGTGAGATGATATCTCAATGTTTTAATTTGCATTTCACTAGTGGCTGTTTTGTGTTTTGCTGATCTTTGTTTTGGTCTTTTTTATTTCTTCTACTTAGTTTAGTTTGCTTTTTTTT